AGGTCTCTTTTTTTCTTCTTTGTTTTGAAAATTATGTTATTCAAGCAGCCATCATTTCTTAGATTTCATCAAACCCTGATCCGATTCGCTTATTCCCAATAAAAGATATAATAGGAAGATATGAAAACTTGGTAACAGTCTTGGTGCCTGTTCAATCCCGCATCTCTATAAACCGAAAGCTGACACTCCAACAACAACTATATAAACCAACGCAAGACTTAGCTAAGTGTTACGGAGCCGTGTGATGAGCACAAAATGAACTATTCTTTCGCTTTTTACTACAAAATACCGTCTGCTCAACGCATTGGTGTGCTTGTCCCTGTTGACAAGTGCCAACAATTCCAGTTTTAAAATTGGCATAATGCAATAAAATAACTCTAACATTTGACAGTAGTATCAAATATACTCTTATCATTTTTTTGACATATTCGTCCACTCAATGTTTAATTTTGGGTCAAAAATCATCCTCGGTGGATGGAAACCGTAAGTTAACTGACCATAGAATTCCATATTAAAAACATAATAAAAGATTCAGGTCCTGACTCCTGATGCAAGTAATTACAAAGACTAAATGTATAGTTCATAATCAAATGCAGGCAAACTATAGTCCATAGTGTTATACTTATATGCATACACCACAGAAAGGAAATTATAATGTGTAAGAAATGCCGACAATGAAACTAAACTGAATTATACTTTACACCAGAGAACAAAGTTCGAATGATAATTAGACAACAAAATACCCGATAAATAATTAATATATCGTTTTTGTAATGAGTTACTACATGGTATTTGTTTAAGCATCCTTTTCCAGGGGAAAAATGAAATTTACAACCAACCCAGAGGATTTTCTTTTGTTTTCCTGACCTTTCTCATCAGCCAAACAGAAGTAAAATACAAAGTTTTACCTTTCAATTAAACAAAAACCCCATGTTCAAATCCTTAAAAAAAAAAAAGGATTACCTGAGCAGACAAATCAGCAGCTGTATAAATAAGCGAGGAAGTAACGTTTTTCGTTAAAACGGGCCACGACTTCACCATTCCTAAATACCATCCAACAAACCCAACCTTACCAAACGACGTCGTGGAAGACGACGACGAAGAAGAAGTGAAAAGCGAAGGGGGATCTCATATTCTTTCACTTTCCGTAACACGTTCGAGAACTGAAAATACTCCCTGGTTTGGGTCTGCGTTTGGTTCCAAACAATTTGAGGACAGTGGTAACGAAACCCTAAACCCCAACCTGTTTTGGAAATAATCTGGGATGGGAAGATGAGTTTTGGGAATAATCGGGTATAAGAGAGATTATAAACACGTGCTTTATTTTTTTATTAAATTCAAATTAAATATCTATTAAATAGTATTTAGTTCATTATTTAATCAAGTAATAAGCTTGGTTTAGTGGCAAAACTTGTGTCATTTCACAACAATTGTCCAGGTTTAATTCCCGTCTAAGTCATTCTACTTTTAAGTTTTCATTTAAACAAATACCAATCAAAGATTAACACGTTAAATATAAATAATATTAATCATAATAATTATTTATTTTATTTTTAAAAATTCTAACATGGTTATAATACGTCATCATGAGTTCTAACATAGATATATCATGTCGGAATCTACATCCATGTGTATATGTTTGGTCAGCATCAGGCATTAACAGTTCGTTGACTGACAGTTTCCATCCACCGATAGTGATTTTTGACTCAAAATTGTCAAAAAAATGTAAAGGTATATTTGACACTACTATCAAACGTTAGAATTATTTTATTGCATCATGCCTTCAAAATTTGGTTTAAATATTTTATTACAATACTTATAAATAATAAATGGATGAAATTTTATTTATTATATAAAAAATGGTAAATTATACCAGTGACCGTATAATTATAATCTTTTTTATTTTGACTATTTTATCAATTAGGTATACAATTATTTAAATATATTCAATTAAACCATTAGCCGTTAACAGTTAATGGTCGTTAACAATTGACGAAAATGATGATATGACAGTTAGTTATATTGCTATATTATATCAATGACCGTATAATTATAATTATTTTTATTTTGATTATTTTATCAATCAGATTATTCAATTATTTAAATGCATACAATCAAGCCATTAATTGTTAACAATTAATGTTACAGTTAATAAAATTTATATAATTACACATTTGATCATTATGCATCCTATCAATTTAGTCTTAATTTAATTTAATAAATTTATTTCTTTAATCATAAAGTGTCATCATTTAATTAGAGTATTTTTTATAATTTTAATTTATTTAGTAATGTTATTTTTTGTACAACTAGATGATATGTGTCACAGAAAAAACAACACACAACAATATAAGGGTTGTGGGATTCGAACCAATGTCATGCTCTTGGAAGAGGAAAAGCAAGCAACACCACTAGGCCAAGCCTTCTTTCATGATTTGGCTTACATAATATTGTATAAAACCTGTTACAACCAAAAAGGAAAAGAAAAGAAAGAAAACTACTTATTTAGGGACGTAAATCTAAGCAAACTATATGATTAAGGCACTCTAATCGCAAATTAATACAAAATTTAATACTTTTCTTTTTCATAATTATAATTTAAAATCAATTTAAGTTTTTTTTTTACATTTTTAGACAAAATTTAATATTTTTCTTTTTCATAATTATAATTTAATGACTTTAACTTTTACATTTGAGTTAAAAAATGAATTAGAGAAATAATTTAAAAAAAATTAACTCAAAAGTTAAATAAATATTTTTCAACTAAATGAAAAAATAAAACTTAAAAATTTTAACTTACAATTATGAAAAAGTTGTACCACACTCTTAAAACTTGTAACACAGTCTTAAATTTTATTCTAAACCTCAAATTCCTTTCCAATCTCAAATTTCCTTTTTCGCTTCTATCTTCTCATTTTCAGCATAACTTTTCAGTCGAGGATGTATGAGAAATTCTAATCTAACTTTGAATTATGTGGAGGTGTTGACTTGAATAAGGGTCCATTGAGAGAAGACTCGAACAAGGGACTATCGGGATCATCAACGATTCAAGGTGTAATGTTAGATACAAGTCATCTAAGGTGAAGCATAAATGTTCGATGAAATGCTTGTGAGAAAAAATGGGGTTAGAAATACAGAGTTGACAAATACTACTAAGATGAACTAAATATCATTTCAATAGATGATCAAATATAATGAAATCCCAAACAGCGCATTCACCTCTCATTTGATTTTTGTTCTTCAATTTTCCGTCATGTAAAATTGTAAACCCAAACAGTGCTCTGTCTTTCAGCTTTTTATTTACAAAGAAAAAATGGAGGAAGAATTGCTTGAACGCAACACCGATTGCGTTTATTTCTTAGCCTCTCCCCTCACTTGCAAGAAGATATTTATTTTCTCTTTTGGGCTATCCGGAAGTAAGCTTTTCCTCTTTTGCACTTTCCCATTTTCAGCTCGCATTGTGTGTTTTTTGTTGAAATTTTTATGGTTTTGGAACTGCATGTCAATTATATGGATATTCAATGTTAGTTTTGAACCAAAACCATCTAATTTTCTTTATTTCTTCTTAATCAAAACTTTTAGTACTTCTTATGAAAGATATTCAGTCTATCAGAATAGAAGTGATATAGGGTCCTAAGCTAATTTTTTTAATCTTCTTTTTTAGTTTTTCTTTAAATCAGGGAATTGGTTGTGAGTATCGACATAGTGAAATCGCTACTCAATTCGAGTGACTGCTGGTACTAGTTTACTGGGAATTGTATTGATTCGACCTGTGGTTTTCAGCGTCCTGTGAGCTCGTATTCTTTTTAATAAGTTCATGTTGATTATGGGACTAATATATCATGAACGAATTAATTTTTTACATGTTTTGGAAATTTTATAGTTGAATTGTATTGAATTATAACTTTAGAAGACAATTTTGCATGCACGCAACTCGAAAGGCATCATGACAGCGTAGTATATCTGGAGCAGCTACTTGACCCTGCCATGATGCCTTTCGAGTTGCGAAAGAGACTGAGAGGTGAATGCGCTGTTTGGGATTTCATTATATTTGATCATCTGTTGGAAAATCTTTAAGCGCAAGGATTAAACGAAGAAATTATTATATGTCATTTATACAAAATAATTTCAGTTTTGTTGGTGACTTTCAACAATGATACTTACTTCATCTTAGTAGTATTTGTCAACTCTGCATTTCTAACCCTATTTTTTTCTCACAAGCATTTCATCGAACATCCATGCTTCACCTGAGATGACATGTATCTAACATTACACATTGAATCGTTGATGGTCCCGATAGTCCCTTGGTCGGGTCTTCTCTCAATTGACCCTTATTCAAGTCAACACCTCCACATAATTCAAAGTTAGATTAGAATTCATGCATCCCCGATTGAAAAGTTACGTTGGAAATGAGAAGAGAGAAGCGAAAAAGGAAATTCGAGATCGAAATGGAATTTGGGGTTTAGAATAAAATTTAGGATTGCGTTGCAAGTTTTAAAAGTTAGGGGACCTAAATGTAAGTGCTTGAAAAGTTCAATGACCATATTGCAAACGTACTAACGGCAGTGTAACGGCGTCAAATGGTCGGGGACCATATTGCAAATAGACTAAATGTTGGGGGATCATATTGTAAACGGACTAAATGTTGGGGGACTATATTGAAAGTTTTAAAAGTTGGAGGACCTAAATGAAAGTTTTAGAAAAATTTAGTGATCATTACTATACTTTACCCTAATAATAATTATTTCGCCATAAAATCGTTTTACCATCAGCATCGTGAACGATCTCATACACTTAAAACTAGTGTTAAATATAAATACTTGCAAGGAAAATGAAATGTTGAATACAAATACTTGCAAGAAAAATGAAAAATCCGAACAAATTCAAATAAAACGAACCCAAAAGTTTATTCACGTAGAGCAAAACAGAGGCTCCTTCAACAAGAAATCTAACTTAATAAACCTCTATGCTAAATATGCTCTACTCTTATTTCCATTTCCCAACTAACTTGACTAGGCTTTAATTCTTAATCATGTTGGAGATGAACTCGATATTTTGCTGCAATTGATAACTCAATTCTTCCAACTCTTCTAAATTATTCCAATCACAGTTATTTTCGTCCGCCATGCTTTCGATCAAAGCAAGTTCCTTCTCCAGCTCTTCGTTTTTCTTTCGTTGTTTCTCTAGCCTATCATTCAACTGCAATATGTTTCTTTTGAGAACAATGGTCTGGTCCGTCATGTGCTTACCTCGTTGCTCTTCCGGTAAACTCCCAAACTTCTCGAGAACTTGACACGCTCCGGCTCGGGAAGGCCAAACATCCGGCTGTGAGTCATGAGAACTGAAGATTATAGCACAAGCGGGGACGTCGCACAGGGTTGTCAGTTCATTCAGCTTCTTCAGCAGCCCGGCCTTTCGCTTCTTTAGAGTGTTTTTCCGGGCGAATTCGTTGGCGATCAGCTCGTAGGTGGTCTTCCTTCTTCCCATGGATGAGAATACAGGGAAAGAACTAACGCCGCACGCATACACCGTTATGGAAAAATTGCATATATAGATGGATGGTCATGAGCCTATATGGTAAAATATCATAATGTGGTAAATATGGTAATGGAACAGCTCATGGTTTTTTCATGTTAACAGATAGACGGAGAAACCTTTCAAATATAACAATTTTAAACGACACGAAAGTATTCGGAATTGCGGTGTTTTCATGTATGAGTAAATGGTATGCTATTTAAAATGGACAGCTAAGGAAAGATTTTACACCATTCATGTAAATATACTAATATGTGCTTACATTTACTTGGGAAATTACGTCAAGGTCAATAATGGGAAAGGCTAATCCAGCATTTAGATACCAAATTAGCCACTAATATAAACCTTCTGCTATTGCCAACATATTCAATCATTTATCAAAAAGAACAGACTTGCTCAAAGGGAAAGTCTAAGGACGGCAGCCTGATTGGAAGTTAAAAAACAGTGGAAATAGACGCAACCGAAGATGTGATAAAAAAAACATAATATTTTAGGTTATGTTCGACTTAAATTGTTATGCTTTTGATCACATTTTAGATTGCATTTATTTCTGTTGTTTTTTAACCTTAAATTACATTGACGTAGCGCAGAATTAGCCCTGGCTCAAGTCAAGAGCTATCAAAAGGAAATGGCGTAAAAACCCAGAAAATACGTGGTTAACGCAGCTTGGATTCTTGAGTCTGATATCTATGAAGCTTCAGGTCTCTCTCGCAACCCCTCAAGTTTGGGAAGTTCAACCAAAAAGAGACTTTGGGTAAAACCGCCCGTTAGACACATCAAGATTAATGTCGATGCTGCATTTCTTTCCCACACCGGAGCATCCACCATTGTAATCGTCGCGGGGGACCATCATGGCATGGTTGTTGGAGGGATGACACTCTCCTTGGAAGATGGACGCACAGCGGAATCGGCTGAGGCAGCAGCCTTTACGGAAGGCCTACAGCTTGCGAACGAAAATGGTTGGAATCAGGCTATTATTGAAGGGAACGCTATTTCTATAGCGAACCGGTTAGTGTATCAACATGAAGACATTTTGGTGGATGGATTCTTCTTCTCGACCCTCGAGCCTCAAGATACATCATGTCAACCGAAAAGCCAATCGGATTGCCCACACCTTGACGGAATGGGTCTTGTCGAGGACCAATCCTTTTTAGTTTTTATTTGATGAACCAAAATGTATTAAGTATGATTTAATTCTCGATGTTATCGGCATCTGATTGAATACAAAGGCTTTAGAAAACAACCATGTGAAAGAAACCTCTGAAAGGATATAATATATGAACTCGACGAACCTTGTAGTTATGAGGACTCAACTGATTCCTAGGCCAAGAAACAACAGAGTATAATGCTCTACACTGGTTTCAACTTTATGCTTTCAAAATATCTGCAATACTCAATAGGTAAATCACTTATGGTGACTAAAAGTGAAGAAATGAATAATCTTCTTGCCGGTAAGGATGACTAGACAAACATAATGTGCTTACAGGATACATAAAAACATGGTTTTCAGAACCGAACCGGTTAGCGAACCGGCCATGCTATTGGTTCACTAGTTCAACCGGTCAAACCGGTCCGACCGGTCAGAAGAACCGGACGACATCATAATTATTTAAAAAATTAAATAAAAATACCAAAAATATTTAATAAAAAATAATTTTTTATATCACAAGTCATATTCAAAGCAAGTCATAACATATATAAGTTAAAAACCATAAAATTAAGTGAAACAAAATGATTCAAATTAACTACAACATAATATTTAAGGTAAAACATATTAAATAATAAATATAATTATATAACTATAATTTAAAAAAAAATAGGGTTAAAAAAATCATAACAAAATGATATTGTTTGGTTTAATTTTTTTTTAAAACAATTCCACATGGCTAAGAAACATAGAAGAGCATCCCAAAAGTCTAAAGAGTAAAAATATGAGAACAAAACAATCACACATTGCTAAGAAACATAGAAGAGCATCACAACTAACTTCTATAAATAATAGAGGTAATTTGTCATTTAAAATCATGGAGCTTTTTGGTGAGCATTGAGTGAATTATTCTTTCACTTCAATCAAGCTCGAATTTTAGGCTTCAATCGAACTTCTAAATTTTTTTTAGTTCAAGCCTTTTTGAGTTCAAGTTTCAATATTATATTTCGAGTTTGAGTTGAACTTGATAATTTTTAGCTTGTGAGTTTGAGTTTTCAACTTTCACTTTTAAAGTTTTCAAGTTCGAGTCGAGCTCAGCAATACTCGAGTTCGACTTGGCTCGTTTAACAAACGACGTTGTTTGGTTTAATTTTTTTTTAAAAAAAACAAAATTTCCGATTTTTTTCGGTTTTCAGCCGATCCGGTTCGAATGGTTCAACGATTCAACCGGGTTAGATTGAACCGGACTAGCACACGGTTCCAAGTTGAACCGGTTGAACCGGCCAGTCCGGTCCGATTTTCAAAACAATGCATAAAAGAAGTTCAATAACACTAAGCATACATGAAACCAACCCAATGCCACTGTTGCTAAATCTGCACAAGTACACAACATGTTCGAAATAATGAACTCATCCAGTGACTGGTCGAGACAAATCTCGCTTCCAAATATGTACATGATAGAGTTCATATTTACGCCAACATCAAACTTCAAGTGGAAATGCATCTTATTAATAAACATTAAACCTTTACATTATTAAAAGAATAAATCCACCTTCTAACAAAAATAGTGTGAAGCAATGAATTGGTTTTCATACAATATCTTCATCGATTACTAGCTAGTTCAACAAAAACCTTGATAATGCATTGCCAAACTGAATGTAAACTTTTTGTCCTACATAAAAGGGAAACAAAACTTTTAAGGTATATCTACTTGGGAAATTTATCATCAGAAGTTGAAGCCTTTCTAACAGATGTACCAGCGTTAGCTGATTCTTCATTTTCAACAAGCTTGCGGAGTCTTTCTTGCAAGGCTCGCACTCGATCCTCAGTCTTACGAATTTTTCTATATCTGTAAATAGTCCAAAGTGCCAAACAGCCATAAACAAGTGTGTAAGGCGCCCACACATAAGGATATGTTTCAGAATGCTCCTTGATTTTTCGATATCGTTCCTGCACCAATTCCGATAGGCCAGCCGGCGGATTTACCGTGGTTTCCTGAGACGCTTCTCCTTCTCGCTAAGTCACCAACTCACCATTATCGGCCTTCGAAAGTTATCGACCCTGCTAATTATGCAAACGCCGGTATAATTAAGGTTTTAGATATGACAATTAAAATGCAAAGTTCAGAATCAAATACATAATCTGTCTAACGATCAAAAGTTCAATAATTAATTTGGCAGGATATCTTAACCTCTGTTGCTCGGACTCGTTGTATCCGACGCCAAACCGGTATCGACACGTACACGCACTGAAACTAGTGACAGGACGGAGCTCGGAGAAGAAGAAAAGGAAGAGGCAACGAAGAACCAGAAGAAAAGGGGTAAGGAAGGTGGAGATGGCGGCGGGAACAAAAGAAATTGAAACAAATAAATAAAATGATCAAAATATTTCGGATTTCAAATTTGATAATAAGGTAAATTATACATTTATAATCTAAACTATTATTTTATTCCGTTTTGATATCTAATATTTTTTTAATAATACCTAACATTTAGTTTAAAATTGTGTTAAAAAACTAATAGAATTACTAACGAGATTGGTTCAAGTGGTAAGCAACTTGATATCGATTAAGCAAGGTCTCGGGTTTGAGTTCTTATATATACAGAAATTTTCCACTGGAAGACTCACCCACCAAAGTCAGATATACGATCCGAGTTTGATCCAAATTAGTCCAGACAAAATCTTGGAACTGGAGGGTAAAAAAAATAAAATTAAATTAAATGAACTACTAACGTGGCACTTGTTTTTATTTTTTAAATAACGACATAACATTTTGACTACATATCAATGTTATTGTTAAGATTTTAATGACGGCTATCAAATTAAAATATAATTAAATGATAGATATAATTTTGGAGAAAAAAAACTTAAAACGAGATAAAAATAATAATTTAGATATTAAATGTGTAGTTTACCTTGATTCTAACAAGGTTTATTTAAACTGTACATATAACAATCAACCTAAAAATAATGTTTTAGGCAGTCTTTACCGGAAATGTTAAAAAATATTAATATTTTCGGTAGTACCTTTCCTTAACCATTTATTAAGGTTATCGTATCTTAGACATTCACATCAAGGATAGTTCTGTTGTACAACAGTCTTAATATACGGTTAACGAAATACCCTATCAGAAATGTTAATATTTTTTTAACATTTCCGGTAAAACACTACATAAAATATTATTATTTTTACCGAAAATGTTAATTTCGCTACCTAATTTCCGGTAGAAAAATAACATTTTAAATAGTGCCCAATATTAACATTTCCGGTAGAAAAAAATTAATCTTTTAGATAGCGTTTTACCAGAAATGTTAAACATTTTAGGAAGCTACTAATATTAACATTTCCGGAAGAAAAAATAATAATGTTTTAGGTAGCACTTTACAGGATATGTTAAAAAAATATTAACATTTTCGATAACGTCTTTCTTTAGACATATATTAAGGCTGCTGTACCTTAGACATCCGATCAACCTAACAAGGATAGTGGGATGAAAATTTAATTTACAAACAATAAATGGTCATTTTAACATTGTTTTTTTCTCTCTCTCAATTCTAACACTCCCTAAAACTATGCATCAAACATAGGGATGAGTATGGGTTAGGTCGGGTTGGGTCGGGTTTTTGATCTACTTGACCTGACCTGATAACAATGACTCCTCCCCCTCAAAATCCGACCCGACCCGCAAAATATATACTCTCCATCTTATCCGAATCTGACCCGACCAACATAATATATACCCTTTATCCAATCCAAACCCAATCCAACCCGAAATAATTAAAAAATATTATTTTTATTTAATAA